TGAACCTGGAAACCAGGTCCACGTCTGGACTTTTGAAGGAGTGAATAACATATCAGGATTTGTCCAGTCTCCATATAGAACAGGCACAAGGAGTGTACCGGAAAAGTTTTCATAGTTTGGGGGCCTCTCAGCGATCCCAAACTAGTAACAACACTAGTATCAGCCACTGTTTCAGTCTTAGCTGCCTCGCACTGCGTTTATAAGAACTAATATATCTTTAGCTCTGCGAATTATATCAGCTGATTGTGGCTCCCCAGGAACAAATTCATCCAGAACAGATTTATAAGACTCTTCGTGTCACAGCACACCCACAGCAGAAGGCTCAGAGGCCACAACAGCTGCAAAGAATGTCAGATAAAGATTCTGCAGGAGAGGGTGCAGAAGTAATTTATGGCCTATGCTTTCTGAGTCATCAATCATAGTTGCAATTTTGTCCATAAATTCCAGCATAGCTGTAAAGGACTCCTCCCTGGAGGAGGTGGAGGATGGAGCCACATCTGATGGAGCTATGGAAGACTTCAAGGAGTGTGTGGACTCAAGTAGGAAACAACTATCCCGGCTGTCAGTCTCAGGTGCACGAGGGTTGACACTGCAGGCCACCACAGGACTGTTAGGAGATCGTGAGCTGGAGAGACCCGATGCAGCAAAACCACTCCGTTTAAGTAAGGGACATCTTGTGCTGCTAGACTAAGGGGACTTAATTTAAGACACCAAGTAAAAAAACCTTGGGTACTTACAACCAGCTGCTGAAAGCAGGAGAAGATAAAAGGCCGGAGATGATTGGATCACTGTAGGTAGAGAGCAAGGACAAGCTGAGATGAAAAAGCCTGTGTCCCTTGCAATAGGAGCAATGTCTGGAAGAACTACCACAAGCAAAAAGGTGGGAATAGGTGTGGAGTATGTGTGACAATGAAGCTAGTGAGGCAGCACTTAATTTCCCAGTATGTGAACCCTTTCTGTGGAAACTAACAGAACATGGGGTAATGGTGGCACCAAACAGTACCAGTAATGTAGTTTGTGCGCAAACTTCAGTCCAGTCGCGCAATCTTCTGTCCAGCAGGGACTGACTGGGTGTGGCCTCCAAAGCCATCACTGAGGAAACAACGATTCAGATAGCTGCATACAGAGCTGATCTCTGCAGCTATCAAATGAAGTTTTGATTAAAGCAAAAAAGATATTGAGGTGTATTTCCCTTCTGCAGCCAAATTTGCATAAGACCTACTTTATATTTGTTACATGTGCCTATTCACATAGCATAACTTTAAAAAAATATTTAAACATTTCTGCTTACCTTTTTTTTTTTTTACTGAAAATCCTACAGAATAGTCAGGGTACCAGGAGTCTTACCGCTCCTCGGGGTTGCCAGTTGCGGCATAGGGCACGGGGTCTCCTTTCTGGCACCCGGGTTGCGGGTGCATGAAACGCATGCGCGTGGTACACAGGTTGCTCCCTCGTAGTGCGCCCGCGCCCATTACTGATGGCAGGTGTGGGCCGGCTGGGGAGGTTCCCAGCACACGCCTTCTGCCTTTTCCCTAGCCATTGGCTCCTGGATGGAAAAATCTCCTGGTTGCCTCGACAACCAGGGGGTGGTCTTAGTCCCCACTGAGTATAAATTTCAGTCAGAGCCCTGGCTCATTGCTGAGTTTTTCTACCTATATGGTGCAATCGCCTAGCCCCGTGTTTGCTGCTTTTCCCTAACCCCTCGTCTGATTTCCTGTTGCTGACTCTTTGGCCTGCCTTCCCGCTCTTGAAGCAAGCAACCTGCCTGGACCCGGACTGGACTTTGACTTGCCTTTGGATTGCCCTTTTGTACCTTGTTTTCGGACCACAGCCCGTTCCTGCCAGTGGGTTCCGCTTCATGGCCCAGGCCGATGATACCTCCTGATAAGAATATGGCTTCACTTCCCCTTTCCATGCAATGTGAAAGAGGGGATTGGGAAGCTAGGTTTACCATAATTAACCTTGTCTGTACTATGCAGATCTTTTTATAAGAGATGTACACACTGTGTGTCCTAACAAAAGGGTTAATGATATCAAGGCCTGGGTGGTACATTGTATATTATTAATCTTTTTTTTTTTTTAAACTGTCCTTATGTGTCCCTATAAGTGTATTTTTCAGCAAGTTATTCTGAAAACCTGTCTGTAAAGTGTTGTGTATAAACCTGCTCCAAAGAAACAGCTAGAAAAATAAGGAATAATTTTTATGTATGGAAGAAAACACATAACAAACATATAGTGGGGCTGCAAAAGTGAAAATAAACTTTAAAAAAAATGCAAAGGGTTTACTTTTTCTCATTATGGAAAATGGCCATCCTACTTGGATACCACCAAAAAAACTAAAGCATGTTGGGAGAGGAAGGGGTTATACATGGCTGGCCAATGGCTTTTTAGTTTGCCAGTGTCCAATTCCTCCTGTAGGCGGAAACATTACCCAACAGTCTAAGAACAACAAACTCCTGTGCCCCTTAATAAAACAAAAGGAAATTATAATTTTTTTACATGAACTTTTTTTCTTTAACAATGTCAGGAAGCATATTATCTAATTATCAGTGTCCCAGATTTACCTTGATTGATTTGTACTTCAAGAGTACTGGCTGCTCTGTTTATTTTGTTGTCCTAATGAAAGGTCCCCTTACATTTTTCATCTATGGTTTATCATCAAAGGATCCAAAGTACCAAGACAATGAGTGATTACCGCATGTCACTGAACCTGCAGTGAATGGTGCCACAAGCTCCCAGACTTGGGCGCCTTGATAGTTCTGTCCCAGTTACAACATTAGAACAGAATAGACTCGACCTTCAATGAGTGTTGTACATTCAGTACAACATCTGTCTGACAGGCTTGTTCTTAATCTTCCCTGACTGATCTTTGACTCTGGACTCATCCTTCCTCCGAATACAACTCCCCCCAAGACACTTACTCTACCACCCTGAAATACACTTGTGGAAAGGCTTACGAAACAAGGAAAATGAAAATCATAAAGCAAAGACACAGGATGCCAAAACAAAAACAAAATAATGCAAATACTCACACAGAATACTGGACTAAATGACAACCTAAAAAAAAAGTAAAAAAATGAAATAAAGCATGATGCAAGAAATAAATAAAAATGGCAAATTGTTTAAACAATATTTCATAAAAATAAAAACATTTTAAGGAACAACAGTCAGTTCTCTCAGCTGTTTTAGTGCACAGTAACAAGACTTATAATTATGTAGGGCAGAGCAGGTAAAGGCACCACAAATTTATTTTTTACAAAAGTAAACCCTTATACTCCACAATAATATGTGCAACAAGATGGACTAATCCTCATACTGTGACAAACATATTCAGTATAATAGTACAATGTGCAGTAGAAATCCAGCCTGACCACTCGGGTTCACTGAACTCAGATCAGGCCAAAAGGATTTCTGGTGCACTACCAGTTACTGTAGTTGTACATTCCCTTCAAAAGTGAGCAACTCTGGTCATCCAGCTGTGCTTTAACTACAAATCCCTTCATGCCTCTGGGATTCATGCCTGTGGCTGCCAGAGTCTTGCAATGCCTCATAGGACTTGAAGTTCCACAACAGCTGGAAGGCCGGAGCTACCCACCCCTGCCTACTGAATGAGCTGGTATTTGTTATTCCCAGGTAACTCTTGAGGAAAAGCTCTGACACATGGTGGAATGAGGAATCAGCCATAAGTTTAGGAAGTTTGTCTTGCCGGCCCCGTACAGGTTTACACAGCCGCCCTCACCTCCCCCAGTAACCATGACCCTTTCTTTGTAGTTTAATGTGGGGGGTAACCCTTGGCCCTGCTCTCTACTTTTAATCTCAACTGGCCATACCATTCTTGCAGTGTTTGCTTTTTTTTTTTTTACCATTCTCCACTAACAGCTTTTAGAGTTTGTTAAAGACCTCCAAACCATACATTTTCTGAAAGCATGGGACCGGTAGAATGTAAAGATGATGCTGGGATAGTTGGGCAAATGTTTATTAATTATATTTTCGATAAAAAATACACTAAAAATCACTATTAGTGCAGACAACATAACTTACAAAATTCGGACTGAAATTAAAGCATAAAATCAATTTAACTGAGTTAATGAATATACAATGTCTGTAAATTATAATCCTTTCACTGCCAGACCCTGCAATCCACTTTTAACCTCAGCTGGCCAGACTATTTTTTCTCCTTTGTTTTTTTCCAATTTTCAACTGCAGCTTTTAAAGCTTGTAAAATACCCCCAACCCATACATAGTTTAAAGGTACAGACCATACATTGTTTATGACACATATTTACTGATCCCTCGCTTGGCATCCTGAATCCGCTTTGCCTGTCTCTGTATAGCATGCCGTGCTCTGTGCCCCCTCTGTTCTTCATTGTCTCTGACGATAAAGGTGGGGGAAAGCAGCAGGGATCATAAAGGAAACGGGGACATGCACGGGTGCAGATTTTTGGCACCCAGTGGAGAGGATCAAGTGGCAGGCAGGGAGAGAGTACAGTGTAGTGGTAGAGGAGGCAACAGAGAACACTCCAAAGAGCAGCCTGGATGTGGAAAAGGGCACAGGAAGCTGCAATGCTAAATCAGGAAATAAGCGTGTCATCTACCTTGCTGTGGATCATGGCAATGGTGTGTAAATAACAACCCTAACTGGTCACACTTACAAATATTTTCATAGGCAAAACAGTAAACATATACATATTTCTTATGTACATTTAGCTGTCTGCCCAGCTGTGGTCTCATTTCCTGTATATGTATGCTATTTGATGTTATTTGGGTGCAGCACATTTTCAAGCTAATACACAACCAGTTGCCTATGTACACTGTATCTACCACAGGGATCAGTTGATCGTCTCTTCATGGAGAGTATGTAAAGAATGGCCCCCGAAATGTGTGTATGGGTTTCATTTTCGTCTACTTGCACAAACTGAAAATGACTTAAATATATATGAATTTTAGAAAAACTGCAATCAGTCACGAAATGCTATAGATGACGAGATAAGAGAATTTACCTGTAATAGAGTTGCTGGGAGCGAAAGCTATATAGAAGGTACAATGTGTTCCCCATCAGGAATACGATAATCCAAAAAACTGTCATAACAGAGCGCTTCTCCTAATGAGATAGAAAACCATAACTGGTGAAATGACTGATCATTCTTAAAGGCTACAATTAATAATGAAGTGTATGGGCAACATAAAAAAAAACACTCAGTAAATCTCTGCAATACATGCACATTTCCCAATGTTTTTTTTACTTCTAAAAAGGCTGCAGGTACAGATAATACATGATGATCCTGTCAGAAATCCAGTGAGCTTCTTACATCCTAATTGAGCTGATAACACTGCCTTTGCTGCAATCAAATCCCAAACCGTGATTTCATCCCTCCCTGAGTTTATGAGATGTACTGATTTTTATTTATTTTGGCCAGACATACGCCTCAAAGGGAATCAGAAAAAAATCACAACAATGCATACAATTTGTGAAAAACACATAATTAAAAGCAATTACTGACTGGTTAAAGTAACTCAATCATACAATGTATATTTTGAAGCCAACCTTTTATTGGATGGTTTTTTAAAACCCTTGTCTAGTTTTTTTTCCAAAAACAAATAAAGCAAAGATTTGGCGTCAGATGAAATTTACTTTTTAAATAATCAATAAATATATAAATACAAATGTATCCTTTACATATACCTAGTTTCCAATAAATAAATATTAAAAAGTATTGCAGGTCATTAGAGATAGGGTGGCTATACAAAGGCAGGTCTCTGACTGAGAACTACAGATGGCGACAGATCTGCTGTACTCATTCTGACCAATGCACCACTGTTTATTTACTTCCCAACTTGGTCTATACAACTCTGATACTTACAAATGCCAGTTATCAATCAGTAGCCAAACCTAAATGATTTGATCACTGCAAGTAATGCTTAAGGGCCTGTTCACATGAGTTTCAGGTCCTGATCAGGTCCGGATCTGCAGACGCGGTGCTACTGATGCAGTGCGTTTTGGCCGCGTTTTTGATGCTGGAGTGGAGCTGTTAGTATGTTAGCTGCAGTGCAGTGCGTTTTGATGCGCTTGCTGACCGTTTCCTGACCGTACAAAATGTGAAATGCAGTATTTTATTGTCGTAACCTGAACGGACTGCGCACGTGAGAACTGTAGCCCATAAAACACTTAGGGATAAATTGGGATGCATTTTGAGTGCAGGAGCGTACGGATCAGGTCAGCACACAAAACGGACGTCGTGTGAACAGGCACTAAAGCAGAACTTCAGGAATTTTCTGTTATTAACCCTTGCAGGGATACTACCCCTGCACTGAAAAGGGTTAACTGCTCATTTGTGTCTAGGTTAAAAAAAAAAAAAAAAATTGAATTACTCACCCAAAGTTCCCAGTCTGCTTTTTCTTAGACCGGTCACTGGAATATCTCTCCTCCTCCTCTGCAGCAGTCTAAGGTCCAGTAAATCATCACGTCTATACACTGTGCATAAATGTGAGGAAACTAAGGAACATTCCAATCTGTGGCGGAGGAGGGGACAGCCTGGAGGGAGCGCTGTGACAACTGGCCGGCTCAGAACTTTGGGTATTTCTTTGTTATTTTAGCACCCAGACACAAATGAGCACCTAACCATTGCAGTGTGGGGGTAGCCCCACTGCAAGGATTCATAAAAATATTTCCTGGAGTTTTGATTTAAACCCATTATAACATTTGCTAATATCAATATCAAGATAGAAATATCACAGTACAAGCTTTGCATAGACACAAACATTCAAAGTTAAGGTATATCCCCTTTCTTAAATTGTGTTGGTCAGATTATCTCCTTACCTTTAGGGACACCTGGTGTTTGACAGAAGAGTTAGCATAGGCAAAAGTACTGGCCATTCCGATGCAAACAGCTATGCCTGGAGGGTTACATTATTACAGAAGTTAGTTGGGTAAAATGTCAGTAGTTTTTAATTCAGAGCTGGACATATACCTAGCCAAGTAGTTGTGCCAAAATGCTGCTACATTGCTGTGGTACTGTAGCTCCTAAAACTTTTAAATCTGCTACAGTTATGTAGGTGTTTGTATTTGTATATTTTATACTCTCAGCAGCTATTTTTTCATAGTTAATGTAACAAGAGTCGCTTTAAAGATTGGCTACTGGCTCCTAAATTTTAAATTTAACGGTCCAAGTTAGCTACTGGTTTCTAAATCTTTCATTAATTTGTCCATGTTTGCTAATTATTAAGGATAATGGCTAACCAGTAACACACTATAACTAATGACATTGTACAGGGCCTCAGATACCAAAGAGTATGACTGGGCTATCTGTGTTGCCTATAACAAGCAAATCTGTGCAGGAACAAGGAAAAAAAAAGAATAAAAGAAAGAAGTGGATATAGCCAACCCAGATAGTTACTCTTAAGCTGCCCATACACCTTACAACCATCGCAAGACTTTCGTTGTGCGATGGTTGTAAGGTCATTAAAATTTCGCACGATCTGCCCATCTTGGACAGGCAGATCGCACTTACGATCATCATGATTGCAGTGCTGAGCAGGCAGCGTGCGCTTGCGCACACCGGCCCGTGCGGCATTCATCTTCCGAGCACGCCACCAACCCGCCGAAAATCTTACGATTTTCGGCAGGTTTTCCAGCGTGCTCGGAAGACAAAAGTTGTGCGACCTTACAGTAGAAGCGGTCGCACACTGCCCATACACCTGCCGACTATCGTACGATCGCGGGATCACCCGCCATTATCGTACGATAATCGGCAGGTGTATGGGTACCTTTACAGACTCTTCTTTCTATACCTTCTAATCATCAGCTATCTGAATTGTGTAACAAAGTCCTAGCAATGGCAAGATGAAAGCCCAGTAAAGGTGTGGATAAATGTATACAGGTGTCATAATTCTTTAAAAATATAGGAAAAGTAAAAAAATGGCAGTAACAAAACAAATGCATATTGGCTCTTTAAAGTAGAACTCATGGCAAAACTTATTTTTTTATAGTTTTGGATAGAGTAAGGGAGGGTTAAAAAGGGATGATTTTTTCATCTGTGTTCAATTGGGGATATAAAGAGAGAGAAAATCCCTGGTGGTCATCAGGGTCACCAGAACTAGTGTCCCCATTGGAAGATTTCCCATCTATTCCTGTTCTGATGGCAACCCACAATTTGGGATTTTTCCCCACACTTTACAAGGGTCACTGGGACAAATGGAGACGGTAAATCTTCATAATGGGGATACAGGCAGCAATAAAAACGTAACAAGTGTTTTAATCCTTTTTCACTCTATCCAAAACTAAAAAAAAAAAAATGTTTTGGCTTCAGTTGCACTTTAAGCTAGAAACTCCCTTACAAGATTTTGCAGTAAGATTACTTGACTTAAGGTGCCCATACACCTTACGATTATCGTACGATAATCGTATGCGATCGACTTTTCGTACGACAATCGTAACGTGTGAATGTAGTGCCCGACCGATAGTACTAGGGCTGCAACAACTAATCGACATAATCGATTATAATCGATCATTGAAAAAGTTGTCAACTTTTTCAATAAATCGATTAATCGGCTTCCGATCAGTTGGCCCTGTTCAAAGCTCCACATGCTGTGCGCCGCACCTCGCCCCCACCGCACGCTCGCCGCTGCCAGACCCGCTCGCATCTACGCTCCACACGCCGCACCTCCTCCCCTCCTCACATTTCCTGCCCATCCACGATCGGCAAGGCACGCGGGGAGATGTAGTAAGGAGGAGCAGGGGTGGGGGGATGACAGCAGCTGATAGACAGGTCCAATCTCAAAAGCAAGTTGCTGGAAGACTGCTCAGGTAAGCCTGCACTTTCCCACACATGGTGCTCTATAATGTATTGCTGGGATTTGTATTTCTCTATAGCTGATGGTACATTGTGCTGTACATTATACATAGGAATACAAATACCAGCGATACATTATACACTGTATGCATAATGTATTGCTGGGATTTGTTGTTCTCCTCTATAGCTGGTGATATTCTGCATTGCGCTGTATAGAGGACTACAAGTCCCAGCAATAATACATTATACAGCGCAATGCGGAATACCACCAGCTATAGAGGAATACAACAAATCCCAGCAATAGTACATTATAAAGTGGTACAATGCAGAAGACCATATAGAGTCTGTATAATGTGCTTTTGCTGGGTTTTGTAGTCCTCTATAGCCGGTGCCATTCTGCATTCATTGCTGTATAATTTTACACTTTCCATTTCACTATATTGCACACCACACTATCTTTTTTTTCTTTTTTACTTCCACCGCTCCAAGCTCGCTCCTGTGATGGACTACAACCTCAATACAAACTAGTAGTCCCATCATTGGAGCCATTTTTTAAACTTTATTTTATTGTTTATCCGATTAACCGATTAATCGAACTTAATAATCGGCTAACTAATCGATTTTGAAAATAATCGTTAGCTGCAGCTCTAGATAGTACTGTACAATCGTACGACTTTTGACGGTCAAGCATGTTTGAAAACTTTGGTCGATCGTACGATGCTCGCATGGTTGGTGGCGTTTCCGTCCGTCAAAAGTCGTACGATTAACACTGCGCGTGCGCAAACGAAAGTAATTGCGGTCAATGACCTCAAGTCGTCCAGGTGTTTTTTTCTAACTACCGCTGATTGAACCTTGCGATAATCGGGGCAGGATGGGGCCCGAAAAGTTTTGTCCGATAATCGTAAGGTGTATGGGCACCTTTAGTAGCAGAGTTTATTAAGAAACTAGAAGGCTAAAAATGATAGTCGTCTGGCTGCCCGGCTAAGGAAATGGTTTTAGTACCTCCTGAGCCACTGACCCAAAACAAGTATGCAGGTCAGGAGTTCTGACTCTACACTTATTTTAAGTCAGTGACTCAATATTAAAGCAAGGCAATTAGCTTTTTCAGAAGGATGTCAGCAATTCCAGTTTATATATTTCCCCAGTACAGTTTTCTTTTTATGTTTAAACTTGACAAAATATAAAGAGAAGCCTGCCATGTGACAAACATAAAGGCTAGATGATTGGTAAGAGGCAATTTAAGTCATCTCTGCATTAGGTTTCACGCAGGTCATTTTGTAAAATGTAGTGCAAAGAATCTGAATAGCAGCAGAACCCTATAAGGTGTATGTGTTTGGATGGCCACCAGGAGCCTATAAAGTGATGGAACATACTTTTTTGTTACTTCACTGGTACACTTACCAAGTTTATGCTGAAAGCAGACTTTAGCTAGTAGGATAAGGATGAAAGGAAGCCCCTTCTGTAACCACGAGACAATGGCTCTAAGTTCAGACAAGGCTGGTGCAGGTGTGCCTGGTTCCTCGCTGTTCTCCTCTCGGTGACGTTCTCCAGTAGCTGCATGCAGCAGTGATGGCCGGGAATGTGAATGCTGAAAGTGATGCTGCTGATGATGTGCCGGTGGTTGTGGCTGTTGTCGGTGATGAGGATGGTGATGATGATGGTGAGTGAAGTTGCTGGTTTCTGAGCGGCCACTTGCTTCCTCTCTGAGTGGGGGAGACATTTGTATAAATACGTCACCCCCTCCTGCTGAGGATCCCAGTACTAAACCAGATTGCACCGTGATTGGACCAGGTTGAAGACCAGCTAGACTTGAGAAGAGATGCTGAGATGATGGTGGGTCTTGCTTTAATCCATTAAACACACCATCGTCCACACTGGTGTCAGAGCTCAGGTTTTGGCTTCGACTCCTACATGATTATAATGTAAAGCATAAGCAGAGTATTATTTAAAAACGTAATACTATTGTAAGCTTGTAAGTATGTAAAATATTGCATTATTACTGTTGCTCAAGACTCTGCATACTTCCACAGTACAGTTTGCTGTACTTCTTAGTGGAAAACATTTACATAATTACATAGTATCGGAGTTTGAATGAAGACACAGGTCCATCATCAGTCTATACATACACTATATTACCAAAAGTATTGGGACGCCTGCCTTTACACGCACATGAACTTTAATGGCATCCCAGTCTTAGTCCGTAGGGTTCAATGTTGAGTTTGCCCACCCTGTGCAGCTATAACAGTTCAACTCTTCTGGGAAGGCGTCCACAAGGTTTAGGAATGTGTCTATGGGAATGTTTGACCATTCTTCCAGCGCATTTGTGAGGTCAGGTACTGATGTTGGACGAGAAGGCCTGCCTCGCAGTCTCCGCTTTAATTCATCCCAAAGGTGTTCTATCGGGTTGAGGTCAGGACTCTGTGCAAGCCAGTCAAGTTTAGAGCTGCAGCTAACGATTATTTTCAAAATCGATTAGTTAGCCGATTATTAAGTTAGATTAATCGGTTAAAAAATAAAATGTAAAAAATTGCTCCAGTGATGGGACTGCTAGTTTGTATTGAGATTGTAGTCCATCACAGGAGCAAGCTTGGAGCGGTGGAAGTAAAAAAGAAAAAAAAAGTGTGGTGTGCAATATAGTGAAAATGAAAAGTGTAAAATTATACAGCAATGAATGCAGAATGGCACCCGCTATAGAGGACTACAAAACCCAGCAATAGTACATTATAGCTGGCTGTATTCTGCATTGCACTTTATAATGTATTATTGCTGCGTTTTGTAGTCCTCTATACAGCGCAATGCAGAATACCACCAGCTATATGGGAATACAACAAATCCCAGCAATACATTATAGAGCACCATGTGTGGGAAAGTGCAGGCGTACCTGAATACAAAACACAAAAATTGGATCAGTATTGGTTGCGGTCTACCCTTGCCCATTGCCCATTGCCCAACGATCCTCCTCATCCCTTGACACTCAGTTTGTCCCAGTTTTGTCCCTTTATCACTACGATCTTACATGGTGTACCCCAAAATTAGTTCATATCGATCTGATAATATTGGTGAAGCATTAGATGTTTATCTTATTTTACCTCTTCTATCTTTACCCTTCTGGTTTATCGACAACTGATCATAAGTTGTTGCAATGTTTGCTATGCAGATAACGGATGCTCTCACAGTTGTTTTTTACTGACATAGCCGTTATCTATACATGTCATAGAATGTATTAAGCATATGCCAATCTGTTACAATGGTTTTACATGTGTATCTGCTGCGAATGTTTGAAAAATGTCAATAAATATCACATGCAAAAAAAAACACAAAAATTCCCCAGCCTCAACCTGCCAGCCAGCCTGCAACCAAACAAGTACCTGAGCAGTCTTCCAGCAACTTGCTTCTGAGATCGGGCCTGTCTATCTGCCGCTGTCATCCCCCACATCTGCTCCTCCTTACTACTTCTCCCCGCATCCCTGTGCCGATCGTGGATGTGGGCGGGCGGTGAGCGTGAGGCAGGGAGGAGGTGCGGCTTGTGGATGCGGGCGAGCGAGTCTGGCAGTGGCGAGCGTGAGGTGTGGAGGAGGTGCGGCGCGCAGCGTGTGGTGCGGTGAACAGGGTCAACTAATCAAAAGCTGATTAATCGAAGATTGAAAAAGTTGACAACTTAATTATAATCGATTAGTTGTTGCAGCCCTAGTCAAGTTCCTCCACCCCAAACTCGCTCGTCCATATCTTTACAGACCTTGCTTTGTGCACTGGTCCGCAGTCATGTTGGAACAGGAAGGGGACATCCCCAAACTGTTTCCACAAAGTTGGGAGCATGAAATTGTCCAAAATGTCTTGGTATGCTGATGCCTTAAGAGTTCCCTTAACTGGAACAAAGGGGCCAAGCCCAACCCCTGAAAAACAACCCCACAACATAATCCCCACTCCACCAAACTTTACACTTGGCACAATACAGTCAGGCAAGTACCGTTCTCCTGGCTACCGCCAAACCCAGACACGTCCATCGGATTGCCAGACAGAGAAGCGTGATTTGTTACTCCAGAGAACACGTCTCCACTTCTCTAGAGTCCAGTGGCGGCGTGCTTTACACCACTGCAGCCGACGCTTTGCATTGCACTTGGTGATGTAAGGCTTGGATGCAGCTGCTCGGCCATGGAAACCCATTCCACTAAGCACTCTACGCACTGTTGTTGTGCCAATCTGAAGGCCACACGAAGTTTGGAGGTCTGTAGCTATTGACTCTGCGGACACTTGGCGACTTCTGCGCACTGTGCGCTTCAGCATGCGCTGACCCCGCTCTGTCATTTTATGTGGCCTACCACTTCGTGGCTGAGTTGCTGTAGTTTCCAGTTGCTTCCACTTTGTTATAATACCACTAACAGTTGACTGCGGAATATTTAGTAGCAAGGAAATTTGACGGCTGGACTTATTGCACAGGTGGCAACCTATCACGGTACCACGCTTGAATTCACTGAGCTCCTGAGAGCGACCCATTCTTTCACAAATGTTTGTAGAAGCAGTCTGCATGCCTAGGTGCTTGATTTTATACACCTGTGGCCATGCAGGTGATTGGAACACCTGAACCCAATACTTTTGACAATATAGTGTATTTCTATCCACAGGAGTAGCTAGTGAGGTCATATCTCACTTTGCTATAGAGTTAGCCATTTCTGTGCAGTTGGTCCTACTAAAGAATTTAAAAGTA